TGCACTAATAGTGGCTCAGTTCCAACAAAATTTTACTTACCAGCTGGAATAGAGACAAAGTTTTTGGACGATGAGTACCCAATACGTCTCTATTCTTCCAATATTTCAAAAAATTTTCCCTAAGGCTTCGAAAACAATTCATTCTCAATTGCCCAAAAGATTTCATTCAGTTTCTGAGCGAGTGTTTAGTAAACCTATTAAGAGGAGAGCTTCGAGATCTTCGGAAAGAAGACGTAGTAAAATATCGAAAAGAAATTTCAGAACTAACACAAAAAAGAAATCCTCTACACAAAAGAAGAATTATTTTAAGTTCAACTAAAGGGTTACAATTGATATCTATCATCACACCTTTTGTCATTAAACGATTGACATAGTATGGAACAGTTTGTTTTAATTCCGTACTCAGTTTATCAATCACAAAGTACACTTCCAAGAAAACAAAAATTGGAACAAAAGCAAGAAAAAGAGGAGATTGTACCAAAAAATTTTGATTCTATTTACAGTGCTGTAAATGCGAGGTTGAAAACGAGCAACAATAAGCATATTATTGATTTAATTTTGAATTCTCCTAGAATTAAAATCAGCCAGTCAGACAATATTATATTGGATAATCGAGATGCAAAAGAATCTATTGTAGACTTTGTGTGTGCACTAAAGCGAAAAAATACCGATTTTCCAGATATTTACTTTACAATTTTGGAAGCAACACATATTCCTCCTAAACTTGTTATTAACAAGAATGCCAAAGCAAAAGATAGAGGAACTTGGATCCCTTTCAAAATCTGAAAAGGTAAGACTAAACAGATTGTATTCTAGGGGCAGAGCTGCGTACGGTTCTATTCAAAACTTGAGTAAAGCGAGTGGTTTATCAAAAAAGAAAGTAGAAAAGTTTTTACAAACCAAGACATCGTATACAAAATTTGGTCCACCAATCAGGTCTTTCCGAAGACTTCAAGCGTTTTCTAAATATATCAATGAAATCTGGTGTATGGACTTGGCTTTTGTAGACAAATTAGCTAGTCAAAACAATGGAGTAAAGTATTTATTAGTTGCTGTAGATATTTTTTCGAGATTTCTCAGAGTTCAAACAATGAAAACAAAGTATGCCAAAGACACTTTACAAGCTTTTAGAAAAATGATTTCTCGAAAAAACACTCCTGAAAAACTTTGGGTTGATAAAGGAACAGAATATGGGGGAACTTTTAAAAAGTTTGCAAGGAGAAAGACATTGAAGTTTACTCAACAATGAGTGAAACCAAAGCTGCATTTGCTGAGAGAGCAATTCAATCTTTAAAACATATAATATATCGTTACATTGAAGATTATGGTGAAAAATTTATCCCCAAATTGCAGCAATTTGTTTCTACATTGAACTGCCGCAAAAATCGATCAATTGTAAAATCTCCCAGAGATGTGAAAAACAGTGATTTTTTATCAATATTGTATAACAAATCATTCAAGAAATATACTAAACTAAAATTCAAAATTGGTGATAGAGTTAGAATTTGGAAAAATGATATTCCGTTCCGAAAAGGATACAAGCCACAGTTTACAGATGAAATTTTTGAAATTTCGACAATATCTACAAAAAAACCTCCAACATACATCATCAAAGATCTCGAAAAAGAAGAAATTCTGGGAAAATTTTTTGAAAAAGAGCTGAGAAAATGTTCAGATTAGTGGTAAGTCATTTTTTAAATTGAGTTTCTATCGATCAGTTGTCATGGATTCTTTTACTATTGAGCTAGTTACTAATGCTTCTTTTAATTGTTATCCGAATAACAGTCTTAGTTCCTTTACAAATTTTCTACCGGAACAAATACATCTAAAAGGAGAATGGGAGGTTGCTATTTCAGAAATATCGTACCCTTCTTTGTACCAAAACGTTACAGAGGGAAAGTTTACTTTCGTAGATGGACGAGAAAGTCCTGAGGAAAAAGTCCTGATGCATGTTGAACCTGGATTGTATCCAAGTATTGTTGATACAGTTGTAGCCATGAATGACAAAGTTCGAAAACGTATAGGCGCACAAAAATAACGGAATTTATGTATCAGTAGATAAGATTACACAAAAAGTTGCCATTCATTTACCTGAGGATTAATCAGTGTTTATAATTCAAAGTGCTGATTTGAGTCACATTTTTGGTTGTGATTTAGAACAAAATCAGACAGGTGTTATAATGAAAGGAAAAGGACCACATTATCCTCAGTATTCTTACGATATTATAAGAATACATTCCTTAATGATTTATAGTGATATTATAGAACATAATATAGTAGGCGATACAAAAACTCCATTACTGCCAAAGTAAAAAATGGAGACATAATATCTACAGGACAGTACATGAACTATCAATCCTTCACAAATCAACAATTTAAAAAATTATTAAAAAACTCTTTCCACAGCATAAAAATAGAACTAAGGGATACTACAGGTGAAAAAATTCCTTTTGTGTCCGTAGGAATTACACGAGTTGTCCTCTTGTTTCGCAAGATTTCGGATAATCATTTTTCATTTATACTTCATACGAAATGGTTGCTCAAAGTTCAGCTAATTTTCCTATTTTTTGTGGACATGCAAGGCAGCGTGGAAGAGGTTTTGGTGCTCTTGCAATTCCCTTCATTAAAAAATATATAGTCCCAGCTGCAAAAAGAGTCGGAGCAGATTTATTTGAAATTGCCGCTCCAGAGATTAGAGAAGTTGTCAGTGGACGAAAAAAACTCAAAACGTTTGCAAAAGATGTTGGAACAAAAACAGTTCGAAAACAGCTGGGACGTGGAAAAAAGAAATCCAAGCCTAGAACAAGAAGAACCATTTCCCAAAAGAGTAGTTCAAAAATCAGTCGCTCTCGCAAAGACATTTTTGACAAGATAAAATGAGTGTAAATCAAAGTAGTCATTTTCGGTACGGAGCGTTTACAAATTCTTCTTTGGAGATTTTTGATAAAGTCCCAGTTTTGGAAACAATTAGGTCATCTTACACACAAGAAGTATTCCCCAGTACTTCTCTGGATGAAAGCAGTATTGAGTTTGAATTTGAAACGGATCGTAATCTCTACTTGGATATGCGTGATACCCATCGTAGCTTAAAGCTTCAACTATTCAAAGGAAGATTGTTTGATGCTTTCAAAAACGAAAAAGCAGAACATAAAGCAAAATCGGAGGAAAATTCAGATGAGGAACCACAAACTTACTTAACTTATGTAAACAATCTACTACATTCTCTATTCTCCAACTGTGAAGTTTATTTTAACAATACAATGGTTTACAATGCCAATGGGTTATATCCTCATAAGGCACAGATATCGAACGAATTCAACTCGTCAGCAGTGAGTAATAAAGGAATTCTTGCTTGTCATGGATACAGTTTTGAAGAAAATCCTGATGCATTTGATATGTATCCATTCACTGATAGAGCAAATTCCTTGGAACAGGGATAACTTTTTCACTCTATGGGAGGCTCGCCATTGATTTGTTTACTTGCGAAAAATTGTTGCTACCAAATACCAAAGTTCGAATTAAACTTATTCGAGCTAGACCTAATTTTTACATGTTATCTGATAATCCAAATGTCAGTCTGAAAATAGTTGATTGTTCACTGTTTACAAGAAGAATTTTAGTAGCTGAACCTAATCATCAATATTTGCAATGGAATCTGGAAAGGGAACCTGCTCATTACAATTACATGGAAACTATAGCAAGAACCTTTATCATTCCATCTCGTCAAAACCAGTTTATTCAGGAAAATGTTTTCAATTTTGCCCCAATCAGAAGGATAGCTGTTGCAATGAATACGAATTCGGCTGTTGCGGGATCTTTTTATGAAAATCCTTTCAATTGTCAACAATTTCATTTGAGAGAGTTTAGAATTATTCGGGGTGGAAGAGCAATTATTTCATTAGATACAACTTCTCCTTGTCGACCCTATGTTACAACAATGAAAGCAATGCAGTTTAACGAAGATTTTCCAGCTCTTCCTATGGAAGATTTTCAAAATCACTATATTCTAGTTTTCGACTTGACTTCACTACAGGATGCCGCTGAACACTTGCATTATCCAGAACTTAGTGCAGAAAGCTTGAGATTAGAAATGTTTTTCCAATTTCCCTTGGAGCAAGTAACGGAAGTGATAGTCTTGGGAGAAAGACTATCAAATATTCAAATTGACAAATTCGAAACAGTCGCTAAAAATGTTTAATTTTTTTGAGTTTTCAGGTTCCTATAAAAATATTGTAACTTTTTTGGGACTTTTCTTTGTTACTATCTCTGTACTATCTATATTGTTTTTCTTCAGACCTAAAGCTCGAGAAAAAATAGAGAAGGAATGCTGTTTAGTTGAAAACCCGAGACACTTCTTCAACCTAGACTGTAAAACAGTATTCAATAAACTTTGCCCACTATATAAGGCTTGTGTATGGGACTTTGTTGATTCAATTCCTAAATGTTTTTAACCTAAAGTACACTATCAAACTATCAGTTTCATTTTTAGCTGTAAATCAGCCTACAATTGCAAAGATGGATAACATTTCACTTTTGCAAATTATTGAAAGAATTCCAGAGCTCAGGTTCTAGTACATGGGATCATACCCTTCTGATACAGTACCTCAACTAACAAAATACTCTTTTAGAATTATTAACTCAGCCCCAAGCAATGATAAAGGAGAACACTGGACTATGATTGCTCGAATGAATAAAAGCTACTACTTTGCTGATTCTTTGGGAAGAAAGAGATCAACTTACCCTTTTTTGACAAAAAAGTTTCGACGAATGGTTCCTCGAAAGCTACAAAAAAACTGATAATTTGTGTGGTTTTTACGCAATTTATTCAGCATTTCTCCTTTTTAAATTCTTCCAGAAGAACTTGAATAATGTTCATGATGTGTATGTTTTGAATTTTATCAGTAATTTTATGTAAAAGTGAATTTTGTATTTGTAACTGTAAATTTTTGCAGTAATTTTACTATACGATGTAGTGAATTGTTTGATTATTAATGTAATTTAACTTATTAAATTCCTTAAATTTTTTTAGGAAAAGCATCTTAGCAACTAACCCTTTGATGAAATACGGAGAATGATGATGGAATATGGATGTTGTAGTCCCCCAATTGAAAGAACTAACGATAGAGTAGATAAGTTT